TTTTAGGGTATTGTGGAAACCTTCTCTGCATCCAGGACTGGGGCTCCTGCAGAGAAACAGGGACATTCCACATGCCTTTAGGCTAAAAAAGGGATTTCTTCACCAGGTGATCCCCGTTGTGGCGCGGATGATCTACGAGATGTTCTCCGGGGACTTCACGCGCTCCTTCGACAGCGGCAGCGTGCGGCTGCAGATCTCCACGCCCGACATCAAGGACAACATCGTGGCACACCTGAAGCAGCTCTACCGCCTGCTGCAGAACCACCAGGAGGGCTGGCCCATGCAGGCCCCGGCCATGCACATGGCACAGCCACTCCCAGCACAGTGATGACCCTGCCTTCTGGCCGTGTACATATACCGGAGTGCTTCTTAACCTGTGCCTTGCCTTAGTCTGAATAAATAACATCTGTAAATCTCGTCATCTTCTACAATTCCAGCAATTCGTGGTGCTTTTGTTTTGGATGTGGCTCAAAACAGAGGGGATTACAGGAATGCTTCTAACTCCTTCACCCTTTCCAGCTATTTGCTTAAATAACTCCTCTGTATACATCAGATTTTAATTCTGTAATATTTTTTAATCTGCTATAATACAATGTATATAACCACTTGATCATTGGAAGGAGAGAAAGAAAATAATATGTTCTCTATTAAATCTGCCTGGACAATATCACCTTGTCTCATTTTTTTCTCTTTAACGGGGCTGTAGCAGCAACCTCAAGAGGCTGATACTCCTTTTAGTGGGGAGGGGGGAGGTTATAGGGATGCATATACACAAGCATTGTAAATGCATATTATAACAGAATGGGGTTGGAAACAATCTCTGGAGGATCTCTAGTCTGCTGGGGGCTGATTGTTCAGATCTGTACAACTGTGAGTAATGGTACAGAGCTGTCAGCGGCTTGCAGCACAGTTCAGTGCTGTCCCTGCATTGCCTGCTTTGTGCCCAGGCTGNCGCTCCCGCGCCTCCTGCCGCCGCTCGCTCCTCTCCTCGTAGCTCTCGGCCCTCCTGGGCATGCTGGCCCCGTCCCCTGGGGGCTGTGCCCTGTGGAACAGCCCAGAACACGGGGGATCAGGGAAATTCAGCCAGTTCTGGGGTTTGTGGGTGTGAGGCAGTGCTTCAGGAGTGCCAGTCACATCTAGGCTACTCCCGTGCTGTTTAGTTTGTATAAAATCTGCTCTGTAATTCTTTACACTGTCCTGGTGGTAGCTGTGGGGTGCTCAAAGCTCATTCCTGGTGCTTTCTTTTACTGTAGGGGTCTCCTTTGAATGTGAGCAGCATTTTTGGGGTGGTGTCTGGGTGGGGAAGGTGCCCACAAGCCTCAGCCAGGACACTGCTCCAAAAGCTGAGCATTTTTCACTTATTTTGCTCTGTTTTTGTGTGTTCCGCTCAGCCTCCACTCGTCCATCTCTTCCCACCAGGAAAAGCTCACTCCTCTCCCACCTGTGCTGCCTCTGCCTTGCCCAGCCCGTCCCAGGGCTGTAAAAGCCTCAGCTCACCAAAAATGTGCTGAAAAGCAGGATAAAGCTTAAAGAAACCCAACCCATTACTCACCCAGGGCTGAGCAAACCCTGGAGGCTTTCTTGACAAGCCAATGCTCCATTTCCTCCTTCTGCTACCCCAAATTACCCTCTGTAATTAAACCTGTCCTCTATCTTTGCTTTCCAAGCTGTTACACTTCTTGCTCCAAGGGAAACCAGGGAAAACCCTCTGCTTCTTGCTGGTTCACGTTACAGCTCCCCAGTGCCAGTTGTGCAGGCTGAAATTGGGGTGAAAAAGGAGGGAAAAGGTGCCTGGTGCTGCCCTTGGCCTCTGCCAGCCCCATAACTGGTGCTGTGGTGCCGCACACTTACCTGGTGCCAGGCTCCTGTCCTGCCCCTCGGGTGCCGTGCCCAGGCGGGTGTCTCAGGGCAGGAGCACGCCCCAGCTGCCCTCCTCATGCCCAGCAGCTCATGCTGTGCTCTCCTGCTCGCTCCGTGCAACAGGAAGCGCTGCAGCTGCGGCCGAGCCCCGGTTCCTGTCTGCGCCCACAGCCTGGCCCAGCGGGGTCGCGCTTATCTCAGGAGCGCCGAGGGTCCAGCCTGGCCCCAGGCAGAACCAGCAGCTCGGTTATCTCCTGGGCATCTCCCCGTGCTGCTGTGTGACACTCAGGGGGAGCTGGAGCTGCCCGTGGCACTCAGGGACGGAATTCCTCTGAGCGGCTTTGGGGAAGCACAGTAATGCTATTATTGGAAGGCTCCTTGCAGGTTGGAAAGGGGAAAAAAAATCCGTGTTTTGGCAGCTGAGGAGAGGTCAGGAATGGCAGAAATTCGTTAAGGTCTTTAGAGAAGTGAAAGCTCCGTTAATGCAAATCGGGAGGAGGTCTGTTCAGCCAGCTTGCCGCTGATAAGGGCGCCCTGCCCTGATAAGGGCTGTGCACGTGGAGAAGGAACACCCGGAACAGCAGAGATCTCAAAGCAATATTGGATTTATTTCTACAAAGACCGGCTTGGAAGGGATGTGTGACAGAAATCTCCCAATTCAGAGACTCTCTCGTGGCTTTGGGGGCTCTGTGCTCCCTGGCCCAAGGCCTGGTGCTGGGCCAGGGCTCAGCTCAGCTGCCTCGGTGGCTCTCCAGAGGGAGCAGTGTCTGCAGGGTGAGCAGAGCCCTGCTGCTGGGCAGGGCAGATACTGCTGCAGCCCTTCTCTGAAGCGCTTCCTGGCTGCAGAAAGCCCTTTGCAAGAGCTTATTGCTAAAAAGGACATTTTTGTGCTGCATTACAGACTCCTGGAGTGCCCTGCCCCAGGCTGCCAGGGCGTCAGCACAGGGATGGCCCAGGGTGTGGAGAGGGCACCGAGCAGCTGGGTTCACAGCCAGACCTGTCCTGAGCAGCTGGGTTCACAGCCAGACCTGTCCTGAGCAGCTGGGCTCACCGGCAGACCTGTCCTGAGCAGCTGGGTTCACAGCCAGACCTGTCCTGAGCAGCTGGGCTCACAGCCAGACNTCCATCCATCCATCCATCCATCCATCCATCCATCCATCCATCCATCCATCCATCCTTCCATCCCTTTGCCAGCCCCACCTGCCTCACGGAATCCCCTCTCAGCAGCAGCATGTGCCTGTTGGCTCCAGCACAGGGGAGGATTATCAGGCTGATGAAAAGCTGATTTTAGGCCGATGAAAAGCTGATTTTTAGGCTGAGGAACAGCTGATTTTTAGGCCTATGAAAAGCTGATTTTTAGGCTGGGGAACAGCAGCGAGCAAGAGGCAGCAGCAAAGTCTCTCCTGTCCTGCACAGGGCAGCGAGCAGCAAGGAGCACCCACCTGTTGGTATTCTGAGGTTTTGTGGCCACTTCCTGCACCTGTGGCTGGCTGTTTTTTCCTGCTCATGTTATATTAGAGGAGCAAGTGAAGGCGGAAGTTTCTCACCACAGGATGTGTCTAACACAAGTTTTTGTCCCCCCTCACCCAATCACTCGCTTCTCTGCCCCAACAGAACTTTCAAACCACACTTTTTTAAATGCCACAGCAGCACGAATCGTTTGATTTAAGGATTCTATAAAAAAGCCCCATATATCACATAAAATAGATAATCTTAATTTTGCATCCTCATAGAAGACACAAAGGGCCTTTTCTGCTGTTTGTCCCACCCATCCTGAGGAGAGAGGCAGGGGAGGTGATGGGGGGTCCTGCAGCTCTCTGGTACCTGCCAGGATTTCTCTGAAGCCTGCAGCAGGGTGGACAGGAGCTCCTGTAAAATCACCATCTTCTGCTTGAGCAGCAGCTCACGGTGCAGGGCCTCCTGTGGGACAGGGACACGGTCAGTGGGGCCAGAGCTGGGGCACAGCCCAGAGCCCCAGCCCAGAACCCCAGCCCAGAACCCCAGCCCAGAGCCCCAGCCCAGAACTGACCCCTTTGGGGTCTGTTGGCTTTTTTGGCCACGTTAAAACTGGCCTTTTAACACCCATTCATTTAGCAATATTAATAAGCATTATTCGTGGTGAAAACCAGCTGTCCCAGTGGGTGCTGAGCACTGGTTGCCACCTACCTTCAGGTAGTTGGAAAGCTGCACCATTTCCTGAAAGGGAAAGGGCAGGTGTTTAAAAAAATAGGATTGTTTCAGTTTATAAACATGGCATGAACTTGCTACAAAACTAAATAAACTTGCTAATAAAAACAAACTTTTTGAATAAAGATGAATTTACAGCCTATATTTGGGCGGAGAAGGAGAGCCTGCTGGGGTCCTTTGGGTTAGTTTTTCCAGAGAAGTGGAAATATTCCCACAGCAGTTTACCTTTCAGGAGTTCCATTACCTGTGCTTTGCTTACCTTGTTTAAAACTGCTATTCCCCAGCTGCAATGACAAACAAAGAGCGTTACTGAGGGAGGGTCTCCAGCTGGACACCCCCTCCCCAGCTGTGTCTGTGCAGCCTTCGTGGGAGCACTTTGGGCATGGCCAGGGAGGCAGAGCCGCTCACTCTGTCTGCTGGCTGGAGTCCGTCACTGCCGAGCTGGGCAGGGTCTGTGTCCCCGTGGAGGCGCGGGGACNGACGGGCTCCGGGTGCAGATCTGCTCCTTCAGCGTCCCCGAGAGCCTGTGTGCCGAGCTCCGGGACGTGCTGGATGCCTGGTGCCAGCAGCTCAGGGAGGCTTTCGGTGCTCAGAGCGACTTTGTAGATCTCTGCATCTCCAGCGAGGTCGTGTCTCTTCCCGCGGTTGCCTTGTAAAACAGGAGCGTACTCAGACTCTTTAGCCTTCCTCACTGTGTCAGGGACCAAGGCAGAAGATCCAGCTCCCTGTGTGTTGTCCCCTGCGTCTCTCATGGTCCGTGAGCACTGAAGGCTGAATTGTGACAGCCACTGCAGGCCAGTGGCAAAACCAAATATATTTTCTTTAAAAAAAAGTGTGATCCCAGATGCTCTGCTGCCTCAGTCCTGCCTGCCTGCACATCACACCCTGCAAAGTCAGTGTGTGTTTATTTGCAGTGGGCAGCTGAAGATTAATAAATTATTTGAACACCACAGTGCTTTGAATTAGTGAAGTTTATTGTAGGCTCCATGTACTACGTGTACATTACGTGTATATTTCAGGTATATTTACTTCCATGGGAGGTGATGTCATTGTGTCTGAGCCTGCACATGAATGATGGGCACGTTCTGCTGTAAAACCTGCACGGTGGAGCTGCAAAAGGGACTTTAAACCCCTGTCCCTGATGAATTCTTGTGGTGCTGGCAGTGATGGGAAGCAGGTGTGGCTGTGGGGATGCTTGGCCACAAGGGAGGCTGGAGGAGTGGGATGGAGCAGTGGGTGTGAGGGGACTGTGCTGAGGAGCCCCCCTGAGCTGGGTTCCTTTGTCAGGTAAAAGTAGAGATGGCCCAGGATCGAGTACCTCCCTTTTAGGGAGGCAATAAATACAGGAGGGGAACTCGGGGATATAAACCCCATGCAGGCTGGATGGCACAGGCACAGGATGCCCTGTCCCTCTCGTCCTGACAGGGGCTTTGTCCCTTGGATCTTCAGGGCTGGGCAGGGCAGCCTTTGGCAGTAACAGAGCAACCACAGCAGCCAAGGGAAGGGGCGATGTCCCCGTGCTCACAGGAGCTGGCTGGAGTGACACCAGCTCAGGATAGAGTGACACCAGCAGCCAAGGGAAGGGGTGATGTCCTTGTGTTCACAGGAGCTGGCTGGAGTGACACCAGCTCGGGGTACAAACCCAATGTGCACACACAAAACAGCAGAAGGTGAGGTCAGGTCAGGTCAGGTTGCTCTTGGTGAAGCAGAGGTCAGTTCCTGCAGTGAAGTCAGTCATCAGGGAGCTCCTTCACAGGCTGTACGTTGCCAGGAAGGCGGCGATGGCCACTGCTGCCACTGCCACCAGGAGAGGGGTCCAGGGGCTGCGCTGTTTCTGCCAGGAGAAGCTTGTGTTACTGGGGGATGCCACTTCAATGGCAGCCCTAGCAAATGTGCCCTCTGCATGGCACAGAGGAGGGGACATGTCCCAGGCCAGTGTGCAGGGCACAGAGGAGGGGACGTGTCCCAGGCCGGTGTGCAGGGCACAGAGCAGGGGACAGGGCACAGAGCAGGGGACGTGTCCCAGGCCGGTGTGCAGCACTGGGGTCAGGGCAGGAGCTCCCACCTGAGCCTGGCTGCCCTGGGAGCGGTTCAGCTCGTCGCGGCACTGCCGCAGCCGGGTCAGGCACCACTGGTACTCCTGGCTCAGCGCCTCCAGCTCCGAGCGCAGCTCCGAGCACTGCAGGCACAGCGAGGGGCTCTCAGCAGGAGGGGTCCCCTGGGCTCTGTGTGCCCCCAGGGCTGCTGGGCTGCTGCAGTGGCTGCAGCGCCTCGCCCGCAGCTGGGCACGGCTCTGCTGAGCATCCTCGGGTACCTGCAGGGACAGGGCACAGCTCAGAGTCACTGCCGGGGCACTGCCAGCTTCCCACGCCTGCCTGCTTTGCTGCCAGCAGTCACAGCACAAGCTCTTTTCCTATGTGCCTCTCAGCTCTGCGACACTAAAGGATATTGGTTTTTTATAAATCCTTTTTAATAGATCCTTGCTGGCTGAGCACTGCTATAAGAATTGAGGGGCTGTTGGTTGGCAGAAGGCTGGTTTGATGGCAAAGTGTGTGTGAAAGGCTTTGGTTTTTTGGGTTTTTTGCAGCCCACTTGTACAGGCATTGCTTCTGTTAGCAGAGCCTTGCAGTTATATTTATCGTTGTTATTACTGCAAGCATTTTCCTTTCCTCCTCTCCTGCCTTTATGCTCAGGGGCTTGGTTCTGAAAGCGTGGCTTTGGCTTTTCCCTGTGGGGCTGCTGAGGCTCTCCTGTCTGTGAGAGCAAGGGGGGTTTCTACAGGGAGAGCTCTGCTCCTGCAGCCCAGGCTGCTGCACCCTGCCCCTGTGTGCAGGGCCTTCATCGGGGGGTCAGGGTAAATCTTAGGGCAGGTAATCCTTACAGGAGCCAGGCCTGGGCACCTGCAGGAGCTTTGGTGATTCTGCTGAGTGACTTCCTCACCTCGTTCTCCTTCGCTGTGAGCTGGGATGTCCTTTTCTGCATCTCATCCTTCAGACTTTCTGTTCCCTCCTCCTCCTCCTCCTCCTCGGGGTGCTCTGACAGAGCGTTTTGTTTCTCCTTGGCAGGAGTGAGAGGTGGGGTCTGTGTGGTGGAAACCTGGTCTAGAAAAGAGTCAGGCTTCTGATGAGAAACAGCTCCAGGCTCTGGGCTGGCTCTAGCTCTTGTTTACTCAGCACACTTTAGGGATAATATTGGTGTGCTATGCACAAAGCAGAAGTCACAGGAGCTGAGTTTGTTATCAGTCTCTGCTGTAGCTACAAGTTCATCATCTTAAGAGCAATATTTCTAAGCAGTTGCCAGAAATGGAGGAGAGGGAGAGTTAAAATGCCTTTTTTATTGCTTTCTTTTTGTCAAGTACAGCTGTAATTGCAATTACAAACTGGAATGTGTTTTGTTTGGAAAAAATATGGCGGAGCCACTGAGGTAGAATTTGCAGTGAAATCCATTTATTTTTTAAAGTGTTTGCCATCATAAATATGTTTATAGTTTTAATGTTAGCTAGCAAAACAATTCATTCTGTGTAGCTTTAAAATAACCTTTTATTCTAGACCACTGCAGACTTTCCTAGGGTGAGGGCTAGTGTTCCTGTGTCCAGGGAGTGCTACGTGGGGGTTACAAAGTTTGCTGACCTGTCCTTTGCACCGTCACCTCCTGGCCCCTCTGTTGGTTATTCTGGTTGTGGATCACGTCTGGGAACACAAAAAGCAATATTATTGTCCACAGCACTAAAGGAGACCTCTAACTTTGTGCATTTCTGTGTTACTTACTCTGCAAATGGCTGATTGTTGCCTCCAGTGTCACTTTCTGCTCTTGTTCTTTTTGCAATTTATCTGAAATAAGGATAGAAGATCAAGGTTGGTGTAAATCTCTCTGTATATTTATGCAAGGGTGGTATTTTCTGTTCTCCACATGTCTAGAGTGGAGCAGACGTTGTTGGCTGCCCTGGACTTTCTTCTCTGAAGGGATGTGATTTTTAGCTGTTTATTGCTCTTTCCTTTTTGGCAGCTTTCTCTCTTGTGCCTCTTGTTCAAGTCATTTATGGTTTATTTAAAAGCTGTTCATGCAAGACCTGTTATGAGATTAGAACTGCCACCCGCTTTCTCTTCCCTAATTATGTTTTAAAATAGCCATGTGTGAGTTTAAAATAACGTGTGTGAGTTCCCTTGCTGTGTCTGAAGCGGTGCTTTAGGACATTACCAGCTCCTCTGTCTGCCCTCACCACCCAGCACCTGGGCTGATGCTCTGCCAAGGGTGGCAAGCCCTGCCTCAAGCTGAGGACATATCTCAGGTTTTTAGTTCTTTTCAGGTCTCCCATCACATCCTTTCCTCTAGCAAAGCCACTTCTCTGAACTCTTCAATCCAGCCAGGAGCAGTTTTGGAGGGCTGTGGCAATCAGCCTTGGTGGCACACTGAGATGTGCGGAGTGCTGGAATGAGCCTGGCGTGGGAGCTACCCTGAGCCCCGGGGAGCTCTNGATCCAAACCCACACAACCAAACCCACAGACCCAAACCCACACACTCTGGGATCTGACCTGCTTAACAAGGCTCAGAACAGTGACAATGACAATTATAAATGTCCTTCCCTTCCCTTTGCTTTCCACCCCTGAGTTCACTGAGAGCCTGGCAGAGTTTTGAAGGGTTGGGGTACTGTTCCCACAGCTGCAGAGGCAGGGGAGGCTCCAGCAGCTGTGGCAGAGCAGGGTGGCACCAGGGACAGGGGCTGGGCTGGAATGGGCCAAGCCACAGCGGGGTCTTGGCAGGGCTGAGCTCACCTGTGTTGATGTAGCCCAGGATGCAGAGCGTGATGGAGACGTTGATCTTGTCTATGATGAGCTCCTGCCTCAAGGAGCTGAAAAATCCATCTAGGGCGAACTTGGTTGCGGAATAGGGAGCAGTAAAAGGGCCAGCAATTTTACCTGGAGCAGAAACATAGGGCAGTTGTTTAGGTGCTGGGCAGGCACCAGACTGCACAGCTCTGCCTTCCCCTTGCCCTGCCAGTAGCTCCAGTGCTGGGATGTAGGGTGTTGGGATAAACTGAGAGATAAAGCACACTCAGGAATGTTCAAATTGTGACATATGGCACAAAGGGCCTTCCAGAGCAGTTTTTGTATCCCTGCAGAGATGCCCAGGTAGTGCCAATGTGTGTTCAGTGTGTGGCTGTGCCTGTGAAATCACCTGCACTGCAGAGTGGGAAGGTGATCAGAAGGTGGCAGGAGCCGGACAGGACAGAGGATAAATTTCCCAGGGGATTTGAGTTGTGCAGAGTTAATAATGTGCTGCCCCTGAGTGCCAGCCCTGCCTGTGGTGCCTCCTGTGCCTTTTGGAGCAGTCTCAGCAGGGACTGTGGCAGGAGAGGAAGGGCTGTGGCAGGAGCTCACCTGCTATGGATGAGACCACCACGATGCTGCCCTCGCTCTCCCTCAGCAGGGGCAGGGCAGCCGTGGCCAGCGCCACGTAGCTCACAAAGTTGGTCTCCATGAGGCTGCGGACGTGCCCCACGTCCCCGCTGAAGAAGGTGAAGCCGCTCTGGCCGATGTGGTTGAGGATGAGCATGTCCAGGCCCCCTGTGGGCAGAGCAGCTGTGGCACCAGCCACGAGGCCAGCACCTGCTGGGGCTGCGCTGCGCGGGGCTGAGCAGGGAGCACCTACCCCAGGTGTTCTCAGCCTCCCTGAGCACCTCCTCGGGCAGGCTGGGGTTGGCCATGGAGCCGCTGATGTAGCGGGCGGAGGCAGCGCCGAGCTCCAGGCACCGCTCCACAACCTGGGGAGAGAAGGGGCTCTGAGGGACCCACCTGGAGGGAAACCAGCCTGGGCTGTAGGGAACCCAGCCCAGACTGCAGGGAACCCAGGCCAGACTGCAGGGAACCCAGCCCAGACTGCAGGGAAACCAGCCTGGGCTGCTCCTGTCCAGGGCCAGGCAGGGCTGGGGCTGGGGGAGCCCTGGGGTGGATGTGCAGGTACCAGGTATGCCCAGGGGTGGATGTTCAGGTGCCAGGTGTGCCCTGGGGTGGATGTTCAGGTGCCAGGTGTGCCTGTGTGCCCGGGCTGGGGTGAATATCACATCCAGCCCAGCACGCCCCCCTCGCCATTTACTTTCTGCAGCTTGGCCTCTGTCCGCGCCGTGAGCAGCAGGTGTGCCTCCATCCGTGCCAGGTGATATGCCATCTGCTCCCCGATGCCCGTGCTGGCTCCCGTCACGATCACCCGCTTCCCCCGGAGCATCTCTGCTGAGGAGGGTGCAGAGCTCAGTGCTGGCACAGCCCTGGCACAGCCCTGGCACAGCCCTGGCACAGCCCCAGCACAGCCCTGGCACAGCCCTGGCTGCCCCTCTGCTCCTCCCTGTCCCTGCAGCTCCCCTGTGCCCCTGCCAGCCTGGTCAGACCCCGCTGCAGTCTGACCCCAATCCCAGCGGGGTGGGGAGGCCTGAGCTCTGCACCCCTGCCCAGGGAGCAGGGAGAGCTGGCCAATAAAGGATTGAATGTTTAAAGGGAAAAGTGCTTGTTTCCCGAATAAGTCACTGACAGGGGTCAGGCACTGTCCCAGCAGAGCCAGGGTAGCTCTGTGAGTTCTCCCCAGCTCTGACCCCTTGCCTGGGGCAGCCTGACCTCCCCTCAGCCCTCCCTGGCTGTGCCAGCCCCGTCCAGGTCTCTGTGCTCGGCACACGCTGCCCCTCCGGTGGCGCTTGTGGAGTCTGCTTGTCCCTGCTGGTCCCTGCTTGTCCCTGCTGGTCCCTGCTTCTCCCTGCTGGTCCCTGCTGGTCCCTGCTTCTCCCGGGACTCACCTTCATTGAAGTTCTCAGGTGCTGAGTAAAAATAAAAGGCCAGTGCTGCTCCCAGCAAAGGGATGAGAATCTTGAGCAGCAAGCCCATCCCTGTGCAGAGGAAAGGCAGGAACCAGACGAGCCCCACGGGGAGGTGAAGGTGGCTGCAGCTCGCGAATGGGCCTGGGCAGTTTTGAGCTGGCTCTTATCTCGCACAGGTTTGCTGTTGGACCTTTTCTTTGCCCTGCCGGTGATTTAGCAAACATTAACCTAATGGAGCGTGTGGCTTTGGACTTTAGGCTGTCCCTTTGCACCCTGGGCCTGCCAGGAGTGCCAGGTGTGCTTTTGGACAGAGGTGAAGGGAAGGCACTGAGCCGTGCTCAGGTGGCTGCCCAGGGGCTGGGACAGCAGTGTCCCCTCGGAGCAGACATCCCTGGGAGCATGGACATCCCTCTCTCCCCCTCTAAACCAGGAGAAGCCCTTTCCTTCCCTTCCCTTCCCTCCCTCTCTGGCTGCCCGAGGATTCACTGAGCAGCACTCCTGTACACGTTCACAGCCAGACCTGGGGAGAGCAGGGCTGCCACAACTTCCATTTCCCATCCACTGCTGATGATCCTGGGTTATCCTCCGGGATATCACCATGGGGGCAACACTGGCAGTTTGTTGGGGGGTCTGACCCCTAAAATACATCCCTGTGGAGGAACCCATGGGTTGCAAAAGGCAGTAAAGGAGCCAAGCGGATGAACAGGAACTTTCCCAGGGTTGTGATTCTGCTCAGTGTCTGCTGGCAGGTGGCAAATGGCTTTGAGGGTGACTTTCTGAAAGTTTAAAGGGCAGAA